ATTGGTCAGTTTGTAGGTAATTAATACACATTGATCCAATATAAAAGTTTGCTAACATCAAAGGGGTAAAGTAAAAAAAAAGTTGAATCGAAAATATGGTAAAAAGAGTATTGATTTCATGCATTCATTGCATTTATCAATAACACAATGACGTATATGAGTCAATAGAGGTCTTTAGAGAAATTTACAGACCAAATCCTTTTTTACCAATATTAAATACGCATTACTTTATAACCAAAAAACAGCCAATAACATAAAATATCAACATGATCCTATATACCTCCGTAGATCTTGACAGAGAAATACAAATATTGTTTTTTTATAGGTTTCCGACTCAAACGTCGCATCTGTGGAAAATTCCATGGAATATTCAGAATGAAGAGAAGACATATCAATTCAATACATGATGAAATTGAACACAAATAATGGGTCAAATCGAGGTATAAATAAATGTACTTTAACAGTTGTTAACAATATGGAACGGAAAATTAGTTGTCGAATTTAATTAAATATTTTTCAAGTAATATAAAAGTTGATCAGATTTTAAAAATATGGACTTAAAAACGACAAAATTCACATTGGATCCTAATGAGAAATGTTTTGTTGAATTGTTGATCACCTTCACTACAAAATTTGACGTTTTTCAGCGCCATCTATGGTTCCTGATTTTCTCTAACAAAAAAATAATCTAATAGAATATAATGACACCTTGAACAGAACAGCACTTTATAAACTATTGTCAGAGTTTAAAGATGGATCTTTAGTTATATGAACCATGTTATGAACCTTATAACCCTGAGTTAGTAAATGCAGAAATTGGACATTTCAATGTCAGCTGTTTCCATGACGACGTAAACATAACCTCAACAACTCATTTTTCGAAAATAAAAACTCCATTTTCTAAATAATTTATTCGTCAATTTTAGGAATTCTTCTGCTATCGACTTCGAATGAGTTCGTTCAATCAACCTGAGATTTCGAACGAAAAAATATTAAATTCAATCAATATTTTCAATGACAAAAACCTTGGGAAATGTGATCATACCTCCATTATGGCTTTAACCTTGTAGGTTCTCAATTTTAATGACGATCAACAATCATGAAAAGATGATGGACAACGACAGGGACAGACCCAAATTAATGAGAAGAATACCAACATACCAATTTACTATCAAGGTATTTTCGTATAACAAAATGATAACTTACATTGTAGCTCACATGTTGCGAAACCAATGGCACAGAAGAATACAGCGACGATGATAGAATTCATCTTGTTAAAATTTTTCTGATATATTTATTCTACTCGAAAACTGAATTGACAATAGAACGCTTTCTGAGTCTGCCTTTACACTCACTGGTGCAGAAGGTGGACTATTAACAAACCGATGTTTAATCACAGAACAGATAAATACATACGATTTGCGCACCGCACCACACTCGATCGAAACAAAACACTCGACGAAATCCCCGCAATCGACCCCTCTCGCCGCGCCCCTCTCTCGGTTGCCATGACTTTGCACTTTCTTTGTTTCTAGAACATTGAATCGAAAGAAGAAGGGAACCCGAGGAAGGAGCGACTGTTCAAGGCTTGACGGGCTTAAGACTTTTTATATCCATTTAAAATGCACGACAGGAGCTTATACGGCAGGCGAGATCGATGGTCTAGAAACCGTACTTGGCCCGTGTTTCTTACAGTCCAAGCCGCACTTACATGGCTCATGTTATTCGCAATTCGAAGTAAAATAAATGCATGCCATAATTGCCATACATATGTTTCTCAGAAAATGCAAATAACACGTAACAAATTCCAAGAGTCAAGGTAAAGGTAGATGATTCCAGAACTAAAGATAATTTTTACATGAAACAAAAATATAACAGCACAAAATTATTTCTGACGTATCTAGATTTTTCAAGTTTTTCTTATTCTTTTGCTAATCTAATATACATGGATTGATGGAAGTAAGATATGATGTAATTACTGATGCGCTTTTGTTTCAGAAATTTTACTCGACCTCTCGAGAACAGCGAGAGTAATGGTTCCGTCGCTCTTCTAATAGATGGCGACATTGCACAATTATGATATCATCTGTCGGTTTTGAAATTGTCGCAGATTTTTCGAATTCAGAGTTGAATAATCCCACTGTTACATATGTACCGCGTACCCAAAATGCCATTTGCCATTTTATTTCCACTTGTCACAGCAGCAATAGCAGCATCACCATCTAGCGGGAAAATGTAGAATCAACGTCGTGCTCGTTGTGACGTAGATAAATCATAGTCGAGTGATTTTTCTGAAATTTTCAATACGTAATAATGTCATCACCGTCAAAATTCGTGTCGTAAACATGAATTGACAAATAAGTCAATCAAAATCGAAACGCTATATTGGACTCACAATGGCATCCCGTGATGAAAATAGTTTTGCTAGTGGCCATGAAACTTCAACCTAGACTTACATTGAAAAAAGTAATTTTTTGGACTAAAAGTCGTACATGAGGATGTTAAACATCAATTTGGAGTTGAAAAGAAATATATAGACATAGGCAAATTGATGAAAAAAAGTTATCGGCCATTGGGGACGTCAAATCATTTAACATTGCGGCACTTAACCTGTTTATGTCCGAAATGGGTTTTGAGGAGATCCGGACACTGCCGAATGAACAAGTTCGCTCAAAACACCGAAACAGATCGGTGGTCACTTTGCCGAAAGTGATTATTATGCCTAAAAACGTCAGTGGACAAGTTGCCGAAAGTGGTCACAACGGCGAAACAAGTATTTGGACGGAAACTGGAACATAAATCAGGTTGTCTAAATTCAGAATTAAATGGCCATGCAACCTCACCGCTTGACAAAAATGAAGGTTTCTGGAGGACTAAAAATATTTCAGGTAGATTCGAAATAATCGATTATAACAGCAATCCATCTATTTTTAAGTTCTTAATTCGACTGCAACTTGGAAACCTTATTCTAATGTGTGGCCTACGTAAATTACCCTGTACATACCTATTAGATCGTTGGGATTTTCTCATCGTCTTTATAAATAAAAATATTAGTATTAATATTTCAATATAATATTCAGAGTGTCACGAAGAGCTCACACTATCTTTATATCGAGATCAGTCGGGAGAAATCCATGAAAATGTGCATGCATAAACAAACTACACTAGTATATCTATGTGTGCATGCTTATATTTTAGAATATTATGCTCTCTTCATTTAAAACATTTTCGAAAACGCAGTGTTGCCACTTCTATAAGAAAGAAGCAGCAACATTGATATTTCAAATAGAAAACCCTGTATTTTATCGCATTTTTAGATTCTTCCTGAAGAGCTGATTTTATCGATGTATCACACAAACAAATCCTAAAGTTGAAAAATCTCGATTTTGAAAACCCTATATCTCTGTAATCATTTCCGATAGACTCCAAGTGTGATGTATCGATAAAATCAGCTCTCCAGGAAGAATCTGAAAAAACAATACTTTTTTTGATAGAAGTGGCAATACTGCACTGCTGAAAATATTTAAAATGATGAGAGCGTATTCTAATACATAAGCATGCATATTTTCATGGATTCTTCTGACTGATTCTCGATATGGAGATAGTGTATAAGCTCGTCGTGACATGACTTGATCCCAAATGTCACACTCCGCTTCAAGCGCATCAGTTATATGATGAAATGATCATTCACGACTAACTATAAGTCCCAACTCAAGAATTAGAGAAGGCGATTAGTCAATTCAGAATTGATATCAAATGAAATCAACCGATCATCACCCCTCATTCTTAAGTCGAAACTGGGTTTTAAGTTGTGTATGAATTTACCATGCCACCTTGCATTTGTTAAATTCGAATTGGTTAGCTGACATTGACACCAAAACCAAAGCCAAAATTGCGCAACAATAATCAATAAACTGAGCTTTATGGCATTAGCCGCCTAAATAGATAGATAGATAGATAGATAGATAGAGTTTATTAATCCTTTGTGCTACAACATGTATAGATAGGATAAGTCACACATGATGGTAAAGGGTACAAAACTACAATTTAAAAAAATAAATAAATAAATATAAAATACATAATACTAGATTAAAAGTATATGTGATACATATTCTTATATGGAACACATTTGTTAATGTTCCATCTTCAAGTAAAAGAGAAAAAAAATAAATTAACATGTAAAACTTCATATTATTTATAAAATTATAGTCAAATAGTACCGACAGCTAGTTTAAATTCATCTACAGTATAAAAACCATTGTCGGCTGAAAATATTTTCAATTTCCTCTTGAAATTTTGAGGTTTCAGTACTTTCATTTCAGTTGGTAGCATGTTGTAGAGACGAACACCGGCGAACATAGGGGATCTTTCATATTTTGAGTGATGGTGTTTATGAGTAGTGATCATATTTCTACTTCTTGTATTATGGGTGTGAATTTCCGTTCTCGTTTTTAATTCGCCTTTCTTTCCATGTATAACTGTTAATAGTTGCATAATGTATATACTTGTTACAGTTAGTATTTTATTTCGTCGGAAAATATCTTTACATGAAGATCGATAATCTAGATTAAAAATTAACCTCAACAAAGCTTTCTGCTTTATGAAAATTCGATCTATCCTTGTAGATAGTCCCCAAATGATAATGTTGTACTTGATAATGGAGTGAAATTTGGCATAATACACTGATATCAATGATTTTGTAGATTAGCCGCGTGGTAGAAGCGTATGGATTCTAATGGCGATGGCTTGCCAGTCGTGGGTTCAAATCCAAACGACTGCAGACATTTTTCTAATGACCCAAGAAATAAGTGTTTGAAATCACACTTTAAAATAAGGTAATAAGGTCCTCGTCATTCCTTGCTCGACACAAGTGTCTTGCAGACTTCTGAAGGTTGCTCGTAAGGGGGCACCGAATGACGGATAGAACAATATGAGAACAAAAGTTTCTTTATTTCGGTGTTTTGAACAAACAAAACCTTGAACAAACGCTCCTTCCTCTCGTGAATTCATTCAATGGTTCTCGTGCTCTTTCTAGTGCGCACGACGTTCAGAGCGATATTCGTGTGCACAGAGATAGGAGGCAGAGCAGAATACATATTCCGAGTTTTCCGATTCGTTGTTATTCGTGATTACGCTGGCGAGATACCAGGTAAATAATACTTCATTACGATTCAGATATCAGAACGTGAATGTCGAGAAAGTTATTAATTGAGAATTTGTTTTGTTTTTCCTCAGGGATCATGATCATGAAGAGCTTCATTGTTATTGCCGTTTTCTTTTGCGCCGCAGCCTCTGCTAGCGAAGACTACTGCTACAAAGATGTCGTGGAAGCATGTAAAACTACCAGCAAAAAATGTGAGTATATTCAATTCAATTGGAGGTTCTTGTAATGATGATGTTGTTTGTTGGCCTCCAAACCCAAACGTCTGTCTGTACCTCACTGAAATGTTGATCTGTCTTCTGTCTTTATTTACCAATCATTATACCTATACCATGACACACCATGATTGGTAGGTGGTCTTGTTATTAGCAATTTCATTGAACTTTCCGAAACAGTATTGATCATATTTTGCTAGTGTTGACATTGAATGTATTTATATCTACATTGAAACAACCTTAACAGTACACTCTTTTCAAGTTTGATAATGTGGAACTGTGGAAGGCTGGCAATAGTTTTTATATATTCACTGAATTGAAAGTAGTTGTATGCTCCCTCATCTCAGGAAAAATAACAAAATTGTGGATTTACTCCCACCAGAGAATAATAATACATCTTAAGTCTTAACAAGAGAAGTGCCAGATTGATTTTCGCAGGGTTGCCAATCTTTTAAAATATCAGGAATGCTGAACTATTTCATAAAAAACGCTGAAACCATCAAATGAAAGTAAATATTATTTTTGCACTTTAAGAAGAAAAACTGTACTTTTATACCCTCATTTGAGGTATAACCTTCAGTAGCACTTTCAATCCCTGAGGGATGAAGAGTAAGTAGTGGCATTTTATCTCAAATGCCATTGCAAAGCTTTCAAGGCACATCACTTTTCAAACTCCTATAATAATAATGAGTCAGTAGAGTTGACATCGGAAAACTATAAAACTGCTAGGAGCTAGGAGTATGAGAGTACAGGGTGATTCACCATAAATGCCCCCCTCCCTCTAGTTCAGTTATTTTTGAACTGATTGCAAAATTTTAAATATCATCTAAAATGATTTTCAATAGTTTTTTTCCGCTACATCAGGAAATACAAGGTACTATTTGATTTTTTTAAATGAAACACCCTCTTTTTCATTGTATTTTTAGATTCTCCCAATGCATCACACTTGGGGTCTAGCGAAAACGATTACAGAGATATAGGGTGTTCAAAATCGAGATTTTTCAACTTTAGTTTTTTTTTGTGACGGAACTATTCATTATTGGTCAAAACGACTCTCATTTCCGCATCTTAACTTCTGATTCACTATCTACTGACATTTGATAATTGGAACAGATACAGGGTGATCAGAATTCTGAATCTTGAACCACACTGTATATGTTTCAATTAAATGTCAATATATAGTAAATTGAAAGTTGAGATAGGGACATTGAAGCCGTTTTGACCAATAATGAATAGTTTCGACACAAAAAAATTCTTAAGTTGAAAAATCTCGATTTTGAACATCCTATATCTCTGTAATCATTTCCGCTAGACCCCAAGTGTGATGTATTGATGAAATCAGCTCTTCAGGGAGAAACTAAAAATACAATGGAATACAGGGTGTTCCATTCGAAAAAATCAAGTAGTACTCTGTAGAGGCAACAAACAGCTCCCAGCTAATGGTTGCTTAACTGTATTTGTCTTCTTGTTACACATGCAGTAATACTCATTCATGTTACTTTTTATGCTTTCTACAAGATGATATGGCAAGGACACATCTAGTAGTTTGATTTTATTAGATTTTCGTTTGTAATGCAATTATTATTGATTTCGATAGAGAGATAGACCGCCTGAAGCACAATTCAACCCGGCGTCGCCCATGTGGGGTCTCAGATAGCCAGACAAATTTTGAATCACTTGCATTTCAATTTGAATGCATGCACATTTCTTTGGTTGCCTACAGCTTCCCAAAACACTTTATTCTGTCATATTCTGGTGCGAATTCAATTTTTAGTTAGTTACCAAGATAGTGACAGTGCAGTAAACAGCTTTGAGGTCTGAGAAGATATATATTTTATTCTAAGAGATACATGTAAATTCCTATAAGAAAATGCATCATTTTCTGTTTATTTCTTATACTACATGTTACTTTTCTAGCTGATAACTTGAACATTTTAATAATTAGTTTTGCATGAAATCTTTCAGAATTGAGTGTTGTATATTTTTTGAAGAGTTTTCAAAGATATCATGTTTATTACCCATTTATATATGTCTCATGATATCTCATGAATTAAACTTACTATCAAAAGTTTCTGTTTATAATCATGAAGTGAATACATCTAAATACTCATTTCACATACAAATCAGGAAATATTACCATTGATTATTTTCCTCCAGTTTATAATTCTGGGGTAGATCAGACCCCATCTGGGTGAGAATGTACCGATTTTCCACCTGGGTGACGCCGGGTTAAGAAAAAAAAAATGCGTTCGTAAATGAAGTTTTATTTATGTAAGTAGGGCGAGAGTTTTCATAAATAATACTCCAGGAATCCATAGAACGCAATGCTAATAGGTTTGTTTGCATTAAAGAAATGAATAGTCGGAAACCCAGTGGGAAACCATCAGAATAATGCGCAGTTTCGCAACATATTTCAGTTATCTGCACAATCAAATTATTGAGTTCACGGATTTATTGTGCTCTTGCCTATTCCAAGAATTGATGAATAGGCACTAAACGCCCATTCATAATAATAAATAAAGATAATCCTGGTGGTATCCACAATATTAAAATTCTCAGAAATGCATATCAGATTCTAATTTATGTTCTGAGTTTTCTCATCAACTCATTACCAAGTCATAACAATAATATCTTTGTGTTTGTTAATATAAGCATTTTCGCATCTATCATCAAATGACAATCACAATGCAGAATGTTATTGCTAAATGTATTTTGATTGCTTCCCAGTTTATACAGTATTTTGTTGAGTATCATTATCTAGCATATTGAATTTGTTTAGTGAACTTTTGACAGAACAATATTAGTTTGATATACAGTTTGTCCAGGATTGGAACTGAAAGTGGTGATATCAGAATCATCAGAATGGAAAATATTTTTATTCAATTCAATAAACCATAGATTTTAATCTAATCGAACTTCGGAAATATCCTCACAATATTTTGTACAAATATTAGATCTGTTCAAAAGTTTCAAATTGCCTTGATGAAATTTTGCTTATGAGGGAGATACAGAGTGTGGAAGATAAAATTGTTCAATTTATTTTTCGCAATTATAACGAAGTTTTTCGACATGGATAGATGATAGTTTTGAAACTAGCGTTTTTTAGACAAGTGATATCATATATTGCTGATGTTTGTAGAAAAAACTACCTTGTCATTTTTTGACGTTTGCAGAAAAAATTTTTCTACAAACGTCAAAAATGACAAGGTTCGCGCATTGATAAGAATATGCGAAGTGACACGTTTTTTAAGTTTCCTACTTTACCATGACACCATGCGCAAAATACATACTGAAATGAAAAAAAAATGAGCCTCACTGGGGATTTACATTTTCAACATGGAGCAGCAAAAAGTGAATAATGTTTAAATATAACACCCTCTATTATTTCATCCTAGATCTCTGCCTTCTTTCGAAAATCACTCAAAATCGGTCAAACTTTGTTAGTTTTGATAGCCCATATTATGAGACATACTGGAGATGAACATAATTTTGAGAGAGAAATTTTCGGAAAGCTCGTCAAATGGGGTTTGATTTAAAATTCATTCACTAGTTGCTGCTCCCTGTATATTTTTCAGATAGTGAAAATGTTTCTGTTGATTCAAGATGGAAAAAATCTCCTGTTAGGATTAATGGAATACAAAATGTTGATGGTTCGTAACTCAAATACTATGGTAGCCTGGTTCTTGTGGATATTCTCCAGATTTGACCCTATTGAAATTATTGGACTATTAGTTTATTTCACCCCTGCGAATTGTCGCATGTGTTATAAAATTGTTAGTCCAGTTTGCTAGGACTCCCTTCTCTTATTAAGCTATTGTCATTATTATCGTAGTCACTTTAATTTCGTATCTGGCCAAAAATAGTGACACTCCTAAATTATATAGTTTTTTGCGAGGTTTTTTTGTTGTCAGCTGACTTTGGGACACTCGTTCATTTTTTCTTATTGATATAAAAAAAATATGTTAATTTGCTATTTGCAAACAAAAATATGAATTATTGTGAATAACACAGAAAGATGAATATCTGTACAATCAGGTGGTTATTAAACGATTCATAATATGATTGATCATAAAGATATGAAGGATCATAATCATAATAGATTTTGAAATCAAAGGGTTCAGATTAGAACTTCACAATCATGTGATTATTGATCGTTTTATGAAAACAATATTAGGAAATTACTATATTATGAACAAACATGACTATCCACTGTCTACAAAAAATGAATTGTTTTGAACTCCCAAACAATGGATTGATTAATCAACAATATTGGCATTGTGATTCATTTCCATGGATCTACTACTTCGAAAAATATTCGCGAACAAATTCACTTTACTTTAGAAAAATGCTCGGACGTCGGACACGTCTCTTTGGTTTTGGTTTTTCTCGTGTACACAGAAAAGCCTAAATATGTATCACGCTCGGTATCACGTTTATCAACTTATTTTTTTTTTCAAATGCAAACATCTAATTTTGATTCTTTGAATTCTACATCTAATTCTAAATATGTTTCAAATCCTATACCCAAACTAGAGAAATTCACGATTGAATATAACTGAGATATACTGTGCTGAGACCGATTCATTAAAAAAAAGGATAGTACAGGAAATCAAATTGAAAGCTCAAACTGTTGACCAATGACTATCATCGACTAGTTTTTCAATTTTATCTTTTGTGAATTTAACGAAGCAATCAATTATGTTTCTGTTTAATTTTTTATTAAATGAAACAGTGTCTAATGTTCAATCGTTCATTCTTGATTTCTTGATGACTGTTGAGTTTGGGAAGAATACAAAAATAAAATGAAAGTTGATGGTCGTAATTTATTTTTCTGCAACCCTGTGTGCAAACCAAATTTGCATAATTTTTCGTATTTGAAAAATGATTTAATGTCGTCAAATTCTTTTCCCTAGAAACCAATTCCTAGGTATTCTTGCATATTTGAAATCGTGATATACTCAAGGATAATAATTCAAGAA